CTATGTTCGGATCTCCAAGAACATCTTTTATCTCTTTAGGTAGAGCATTTTCAACAGAACAGTGTTGGATAATAATGCATTCAAGGAACTTATGAAGTGGTGTTGAAGGGATCACCTTTATTCTATTCTGTAGCCTTCCAAAAATTTCCACTGTATTAAACAAAACTAGATGGATTATTGCATGAAAAAGAGATTCAATTTTAAATCTAGAAAGATATAGAGCTTTCATTCTTAATCAGCTCTCAATAATGTGGGATTTTTTCTCATTTGTCGCCATCATCGATTTATGGCAATTTAATAAAATATGATGAATTTAAGGAAATATAAATGGTCAAAGTATCAAGAAATGCCTGGTTGGTACATGCTACATTAAAATATATGTGACAGTGGTTTGAAAAAGTTTATCTTATTTCCCTATATATATTATCAGTAATGGATCAGATAAATAAGCATATTTAATGTACGTAATGGCAGCCATCTTGAATATTGGAATATAAAAATATGCGAAATGTGCTTTGTAAGAATTCAAGGAAAAAGTTATTTAATAATAAGTTAAAAAAGCACATAAATCTGCATTTTAGTAAGGCTCACAGCATGCGGTTTGTCCACACGGGTAGCCTGCAGTTAATTTTTATCCATGGTCATCTTGGAATCATGATAAATGAAGCTAAAATGGCCATTTTGGCAAAATAAAATGCCTAAGTAGCAGAAGGACACTGCAAAACAGATAAATTTATTACAAAATATGCTTTTATTTTGCTTTTCATTCACTTTGATGTTTCCAACATGCAAATCAAAATAATGCAAGTTTTGAATCCAAAAATTGACGGCCAATTTGGATTTTTCAACCCCGAACAAAGTCTCAAAATAAATTAAATTATTCAGTCATACATTTCATCCCATAACTTGTGCAATAAATCCTTCATTGAATAGTCAGAGATGTTTATAGTAAGAAAGGCTCGTAAACATTAAAAAAAAAAATGTTGTGGCCATCTTGGATTAGAGCCATCTGTGTTTAAATACAATTTTAATATAAACTAAGGGGTATAAATGAGAAATAAAGACTTCAACTAATTTAATTTCATCAAAACATATAAAATATTCCTAATTTTTGGTTAATTAAAAATTTCAAATTTAGGGATTTGAATTTTTCACAAAAAAAGGAAATTGGAAGTCATCTTGGATTCAGTCGCCATCTTGAAAAATGAAAATTGCCTGAAAAATTGAAGAAGACCTAAGTACTTCTGATCAGTGCACATTTTTATAATATTTCGTTAAGTAACTTTAAAATCAATTTTTGTATTTACATATGACAAATGAATTTATGGGCGGCCATCTTGGATTTTGCAGTACAGTACAGTATTTAAGTACAGCTTCATTGCATCTTCAACAATGGTTTAGTATGGTATGGCCTTTTTGGACTGCCATAATCATATGGGACATAAAAAAATAATAATGGATCATTTTTCATAAACCATCACAAATTTTGTGACAATTACTGAAATGTTCCACTAATTACGTTAAGCATTTCATAAATACAAAAAATTGATGTATCTTTAATGGAAAAGAAAAATAAAGCTGAAAATATTGCTAAAAACCATTAGGAGTATAACACTTTTAGAGCTTGAAATAATTTTAACCTCTTGTGTTTACGTCATGTTATACACATACCACGATGATGTTTGTTCAGTGTCGCCCTTGTTATCAAATTACAACAATGGTATTCATTTCGTATATCAGATAATAT